TCAATTCCAACGCAATATCACACAATATAATTATATCAAAATGAAAATAATATCAAAATCTATGAAAATTCAATTTATCAATGCAATTGAAAACTTTGAAATGTAATTATTACATATTTAGTGTAACGTGATTTGCTTTTACGTCCAAAAGATTGCATTTTTTCAAAAAATGCATTTTTTACCTGTCACAAGTGTAGCATTAATATAGTAGGTATATAAAAACACAGGCGTTTTCGAATGGAACGTTGTGTCAAAATTTCAAAACAATCGGTGAAGAACTTTCGAAAGATTACAGCGTGTGTTGCATTTACGTCCAACAGATGGTGCTGTTTTTCCAAAATAAACATATTTTTACCTGTCACGGGTGCGGCATGTGTATAGAAGGTATATAAAAACGCGCGTATTCGAATGCAACGTTGTTTCAAAGTTTCAAAGCAATCAGTAAAGAGATTTCAGAGATTTCCCTCACATGAAAAACACAGTTTAAAAAAAGCACGTTTTTACCTGTCACATATGTAACACCTATATAATGGTATATAAAAACACGCGGGTATTCATATGGATGTTTTGTCAAAATTTCAAAGCAATCGGTGAAGAACTTTCGGAGATTAGCAATTTTGAACAAAACGAACACTTATATTTTTATTTATATAGATAGTAAACCACAGTATACGAGGAAATAACATTTCGTTCACTTGGACCATCGCAGAATGAATCCCCCCGACCTGAAATCAAGATTTCTACGAACCAGGCTACAAACTCCCAGAATTAGAGAGGATCCCAAAGAAAACCACTGCTATTAAACTGTTATTTTAAGCCTCCCCTAGGGTCCTGGGGTGCCACTTTTGTATGGTGGTATTATGTGATACATGTCCTTGTCATATCAATTGTAAACCACAATGAACGTGTAAATAATATCCGTGTTCTTTTCCTGTGACTAGGATGTGGATTACCAAATACATCAATACTCAAGTGGTACCTCATGGGAGACGTATAAGCAATCCCACAGTAACTTGTTTCTAAAAGCAGAACCCTAAACAATATCATAAAATGCGGAGTTTATAAGAGCTTCCACTGTTGCAAATTATTTTATTTAAATTAATTAAATTAATTACTTAAAAACTTTAGTCAAACTGAAATGTTAAATTAAAGTAAGCAATAACCTTATCCTGTCGTATAGAAACACTTTCATATTATTGACATAAATCTTTTTGTACAATATAATAACAGTAATGGATTTATCCACCTTGATGATATGCAAGGAACTATCCATTCAAAGATTTGAATACGCTTTATCAAACGGGAGCATTGTGGACAGGTCTGTTTAGTAGTGATCCATATCGCTGTTCTTTTCCATATTACGGAATCCCTTGGCTACTACAATGTAATTCACATCTTAATTTGAGGGAGCAAAACTCAGTCCGTGTCCTGGGGCGTTATTAGTCTGGATATCTGGTTGTCAGACGTGGTTAGAGTGCTTACCCTATTCACTGTTGCGAATGAACCTATACTCTGTTCCTCTTCTTCTATATGTATATTTCAAGGGTACTGCAGTGCCCTGCAGAGTCTCTCTCTCCTAACACATCATTCTGCCCCCCTGTTCTTTTCCCCTCTCCTCACACCCCCTATCTTTCCTCCTCTCCTCACTTTGTTTCTTCTTCCTGCCCCCTCCCCTCTTCCCTCTCCATCTGACCCATTTCCCCTCAATCCTCATTCCCTCTCTCGTCATTCCTCGAACAGTTGGACGTTTCTATTTTCTTCCCCCAGTTTTCCCTTGATCCCTATTGTCCTCCATGTTACGGCCACTTTGGGCCATTAATTGGGTTCTTGCTGTTATAACCTCTTCTTCTATATCCAACACCCAAGTTGGTGGTAAGTTTTCAAGAACTGGCTGAGGCAAGTACTAGTGCAATGATTAAAGAGGCGGATGAACTATACACAATTACACCTTCACCAATATATTAACACCTTCACCACTAATATATATATATATATATATATATATATATATATATATATATATATATATATATATATATATATATATATTAAAGTATACTAGCACATATTTACAGTGTCGTTTTCACTCAGGACACAATACATCGGCAGTGTTTATCAAATCCCGGTGAATCCAATTTGCAAGTACCCGTCGTCCACACCTAATAGCTAACACCTGCAAGTTCACCTTCTTCAATATGGACCAATCCACACACACCATATCTTCATGATGTGCCATTACCCCACCTCCACTCTCCAGATGTACATTGGCAGAGGGTTTCAGCAACACGCTGACAGGAGTCAAACAATCACCAACAGGGGTAGCTAACAACCTGGCAGAAGTCTCTAGCAGCTCGCTAGCAGCATTTCTCAACAGATGCACCACTGTCGTTGCGTAACTCTTCCTGACCAATCCCGGGTACGTCGGCCCATCCAACACTGCATAAACCAGCAGTTAACACACTGCCATAACTGATGCGGCCACTTCGTCCTCTCAAGACCAAGTCAAGAGCTCTTGGACTACCCAAGGTGAACTGCCCTCCTCAGTGCAATCGCCTCCTTACGTCACCTCTGATAACATAAAACGTCATTAGCTAGACAGACAGTATACTGGGGGTGACCTTTGGATAACACCCTTTTACCGGGGATTTGACATTGTACATTGTAGTCGCAACCTAGATGGCGTTGATGTCGATATGCCATACACCAGAGGTCATCTTCATTACCTTCACCTTCTAACTGAGGCAGGAAACCGGAGCCTTTCACCGATGCCACGCCACCACCAACAGATGGCGTTGTCTGCGTTGCACCCAATACCGGGGAGTTGGAGTGCAGGTCCATATATGGCGTCGAAATCGCCACTCCACACTCCCCGTGATGGTGTTGATACCGTAAGACTCCATTCAGTCCGTCCCTTTGTTCTCTCTCGGACCTTCCCCCTGGTCCATCCCATCCACTGTCTCCCTCCCCCAATCCCCTCTGCTTACCCCTTCAGGAACTCTGAAATAAATATATGTGTCTCACAGACATCCTTTTCCATCTTCCCCTTAACCCCCCCCCCCTTCCCCTTGTCCAGTAGGTATAGACATTTAAAAACTATTTTGCTCATATATCTCTCTAGTTACATTTCGGGTAATATATGTATTTCCTGCAATAATTCCAAATTTACAAGAATAAGAACTAACCAAAGCCAAATTGATACACAGTTTCGAAATCCACGAGGAAGCGCACCGCACTTGGGGAGTGGAGATGACTGTGGGCAACTTCAGCGGGATGATTGGTCTGCTTCAGCGGGAACAAAAGGACTTCTGTACCGCTACTGGACCAACGGCGAACCGTCTGAGGGTTGTTGAGTATCTCAGAGGCTATCCATCTGATCCCTCTACGATAACCTCCCTCAAGCCCTCGCTGCTGCCAAAATACCTCGCCCTTATACGCCCATTTGAAGGTATATTTCTTTCAAAACATTTGGCGGAGTCGCTGTTACATTTTATTTCTGTTCATATTTATTGTCAATATTGTCATTTGATTCATGACATTAGATTTTCTGGAAGCATATTTTGCTGAATAGTGTGAGTGTATGTACTCACCTATTTGTGCTTTCGAGGGCTAAGCTCTGGCTCTTTGGTCCCGCTCTCTCAACTGTCAATCAACTGATATACAGGTTCCTGAATCTACTGGGCTCTATCATATCTACACTTGAAACTGTGCATGGAGTCTGCCTCCATGACATCACTTCCTAATACATTCCATTTGTCAACCACTCTGACACTAAAAGAGTTCTTTCTAATATCTCTGTGGCCCATTTGGGCACTCAATTTCAACCTGTGTCCCCTAGTGCATGTTCCCTTTGTGTTAAATAGTCTGTCTTTATCTACCCTATCATTTCCTCTGAGAATCTTATATGTGGTGATCATGTCCTCTCTAACTCTTCTATCTCCCAGTGATGTGAGGTTTAATTCCCATAGTCTCTCCTCATTACTCATACCTCTCAGTTCGGGTACTAGTCTGGTGGCAAATCTTTGAACCTTTTCCAGTTTAGTCTTATGCTTGACTAGCTATGGACTCCATGCTGGACCCGCATATCCCAGGATTGGTCTGACATATGTGGTATACAAAGTTCTGAAAGATTCCTTACCCAAGTTTCTAAAGGCCGTTCTTATGTTAGCTAACCTGGCATATGCCACTGATGTTATCCTCTTGATATGGGCTGAGTGAGTGTGTGTGTGTGTGTGGGAGTGTGTAAGGGAGTGTGCTAGAAGACGAGGGAAGTAAGGGGGCGAGTGTGTGGAAGGGTGGTGTTGGCGGGAGGGTTGGGGAGAGGGCCAAGTGGTGGGTGGCAGGTGCGTTTGTGTTTGTGTGTGTGTTTATTGTGAGAGGGGTGGTACGGCGGGGGGAATGGGTTAAACAGTGGAGGGATAGTGTGGGAGAGAGAGAGTGAGAGAGAGCGAGAGAGTGAGAGAGAGAGAGAGAGAGAGAAGAGAGAGAGAGAGAGAGAGAGAGAGAGAGAGAGAGAGAGAGAGAGAGAGAGAGAGAGAGAGAGAGAGAGAGAGAGAGAGAGAGAGAGAGAGAGAGAGAGAGAGAGAGAGAGAGAGAGAGAGAGAGAGAGCGGTGGATAGATAGGTGGGAGATGGATGGATAGGGGGTGGATGGTTGGAGGGGAAGGGAGGGAGGGAGAGAGGAGAGAGAGGAGAGGATGGGAGGAAGGGAGATGGGAGAGAGGGAGTTGCGATGCTGTATTAGGGGGGGGATAGAGAGAGTGTGTGTGTGGCGGTTCAGAGTGGAGAGGGGATATGGGAGTGTGTGACCCTAAGGGTGGTATTTTGTGCGAGTATTGTTGGAGGTGCTATTGTGAGAAGGAGTGTGGAGTGAGAGAAGGTTTGGGGTTACCCGGTGGAGAGCATAATGTTTTTTCACATGTAGGTGCCACAAAACTAGTACCCAAGTGAACCATATATTGTCTCTTGAGGTTCGTTTCTGTTTGTTAACTTATATCCAAGACTAACTATTATATTGCAATAACACTTTATGCCGTATGATTGACTGACTTATTGAGAGGCCTAACTACCAAGTCAACATCCCACAGCACAATTAGGTGTTAGAATCACTGGTGATGTCTTGTTCACGTCCCCCGTAGGCATGTTGATATCCACGGTCACTCCAACTCCTCGCTATATATCACCAGTAATCAGCTTCTTGTTCCCCTTAGCACTGATATAGCTCTAATGCTACACGTTTAGACTATCTTCTTCATTATTCGATTCACTATTTGCTTTGATCATCACTATCACATCTAGTTATGTACACTCTGACCAAGCGGTGGCGGCAACATGGCTGTCTTGGCACTAATGTCGTACCCCTGATCTTGACTAATTTGCACGATCGGACACAATACATGAAATTGTTATTTTCTAATCGGTGTGTTACACTATGTAATATCAGTATGCAACGATTTTCCTTTGTATCTCTCTGATGTCCCAAATTATGAAGCTTTTTTCGACGAGCGTGGCTCACGTGTCCACCCTCCCTAGACCTTTGACTCCTTGTGTGTGTTTGTTTATGTGTGGTGTGTACTTACCTACTTGTGCTTGCGGGGGTTGAGCTCTGGCTCTTTTGTCTCGCCTTTCGACTGTCAATCAACTAATGTACAGGTTCCTTAGCCAACTGGGCTTTATCATATCTACACTTGAAGATGTGTATGGAGTCACGATGACTTGACGCCAATCTGAGGTCTCATCCATCACAGTAACTCTCTGCTTCCTATTGCTTAGGTACTCCCTTATTCACTGGAGCGCCCTACTAGGTCCTCCTGCCTGTTTCTGCAGCTTATGCATCAGCCTTTTATGGAGTACTGTATCAAAAGCTTTCCAACAGTCCAAAAAAATGCAGTCCGCCCATCCTTTTCTTTCTTGCTTAATCTTTGTTACCTGATCGTAGAATTCTATCAAGCCTGTAAGGCAAGATTTACCCTCCCTGAACCCATGTTGATGGTTTGTCACGAAGTCCCTTCTCTCCAGATGTGTTACTAGGTTTTTTCTCACGATCTTCTCCATCACCTTGCATGGTATACAAGTTAAGGACACTGTCCTGTATTTCAGTGCCTCATGTCCGTCTCCCATTTTGTATATTGAGACTATATTAGCCATCTTCCATATTTCTGGTAGGTCTCCTGTCTCAGGTGACCTACTATACACTATGGAGAATGGAAAGCAAAGTGCTCTAGCACACTCTTTCAATACCCATGGTGAGATTCCGTCCAGGCCCACAGCCTTTCTCACGCCCAGATCTAACAGGTGCCTCTTGACCTCATCTCTTGTAATTTCGAACCCTGCCAAGGCTGCCTGGTTTACTGCCACCTCTCCTGGCTCCTTGTTCTATTATGAAGACCTGGAAGCTCTTGTTGAGTTTATCACACACCTCTTTGTCATTCTCTGTGCATCTGTCCTCACCCATTCTAAGTTTCATCACCTATGTGGGGAAATCTGGCTCTAGTATAATACTGATAAAATGTATAATTTGAAGAATGTAAAATAATGATAAATTCTAAGATAGCTCGAAGGACCAGAATGAGTAATAAAATGAGAAAATCAGTGGCTTATAGATCTACGATAATATGTGAATAAATTCTATTATGCAATGAATGTAAATTAGATAATTCTAGAGCCAGCCTCCCAGGACACATTTTGGGGGGGGGGGTATTCTATGAGATTAATCTATGTGTAACATATATTATGCAATAATAATAATAATAAGTATAATATGCACACACATAGATAATGAGTAAAATATATAATGCAAGAAATACTACTGCGATGTAAAGATCAATAATGCATAAAAGTAATACATGGTTTGTAAAGCCATAATATATGGACTCTGAATAATTAAATACTATCTACAATGAAAACTGATTAAATCTCAGCTGTGACAGAGGGACGTAGATGCAGTCCACTGGACGCCAGTCTGGAAACAGTTTGAGATAGTGATACTTGGAGCATGTGAGGGTATGGCGTCACACGCTTCCTCAAGGGTGTTGCACCATGCTGCAATAATGATAATTCCGTAATTTCCACCTCCAATCTAGTATTCACACACATAAAAGTAATATCTAGATATTTGGAGGGAAAAGAGTTGCACTCACATGGGAATTTAGGTACGCCCGTAGTGTCACAACATGGCCACCTATATTAGTTAATCTTTGAGCTCAATAAATTAAACTAAGAAGTATAAATGCCTGCTGAACTGGTGTCCGTGATTCTGGTAAGATGCGTCCTCAATCTAGGTCTAGGGATGTAAGGATGCCGTCTGGATGGTAAGATATGTTGGACCGCTTCGGAGCACCGTCACGCTTGTTGATCGAATATGGCGAGAGTCCTCTCTCCTCCTTCCCAAAAGTCGCGCATGCACAATAGCTCACTGTGAGGATTCGAGCATAAGTTATATTTATTTATTAAAACTAAATACGGAAGGGGGCGTTTATGAACACTCTTTATATTTTATGTGGTGATGTTTGATTCTCACAGTGCACGTCAGTTAATGTAGACTGCTCAAATAAAACAATACGGGCTTGGTGGTGGAAATGATGTTAGATTATGATATGATTTACTGGAACAGCGATTAAACTGGGTAAAGAAATTCCAGTAAACTGTTGTATACTAAAGGTAAACCTATTACTAAATAATTATTCCTAATAAAGGAAAGTAAATGGTTACATCTTTGTTAATCTACAGGCATGTGGAAATTTTATTCTCCGTGAATGGCTGACGCAACACTACAAAATTCTAGGAGAAATTATATTACGTTCCATAACCTAATACAGATATTCTACAATACTAAGCTACATATTAGTAGTGTTAGTTAATTATTACGCTTAATACAGGAAATACATCCTGTTGTATTTTGGATTAGTAAATGAATATTAGGAGTGTATGAAGCCTAATACAGGAAATACATCCTGTTGTATTTTGGATTAGTAAATGAATATTAGGAGTGTATGAAGCCTAATACAGGAAATACATCCTGTTGTATTAGGGATGAGAATAACTGTTGGAAATTTCCAACAACCTGTTTCGTCACTGTTATTTTCCTCCTGATGTGACTGTGGAGTAGCTTTGGTTTGGTCTTGTCTTTATTAGCTATATCATTTTCATACTTTTTCTCAGCTTCTCTTCTCACACTAACATACTCGTTCCTGGTTCTCTGGTATCTCTCTCTCTCTGCTTCCTGGTGTTCTGTTATTTCGGAAGTTCCTCCACGCCCTTTTGCTCAGTTCCTTTGCTTTCATACATTCTCTATTAAACCACGGATTCTTCTTTTGCTTCTCGGTTTTCTCCTGTCGGGCCTGGATAAACCTGTTTACTGCCTCCTGACACTTTTGGGTGACATAGTCCATCATAGACTGTGACATCAACGGTAGACATAGACCGTTGTGAGGTGGGACCAAAGAGCCAGAGCTTTACCCCCGCAACCCCAACTAGGTAAATAAATACAAGACAGTGAGTCACTGTGAGGGGTGAGGCCTCAAATTGGCGAGGCGTCACCAGTGGAGTCTCACAGGGTTCAGTCTTCGGACCTATACTGTTTTTGATATATCTATTTGATCTACCAGAGGGTATAGAATCATTCCTCTCATTTCTCTGGTGTTAAACAGGGGTGCGTTCTTGTTCCAACCCTGTTCGGTATCTTCTTCACGATCCTCGTCAAGCATGCCTTTGGAAGAACCACAGAGGGCATCTATCTCCGTACAAGATCTGATGGAAAGCTCTATAATCGATCTAGACTCCGAGCAAAGACGAAAGTACGGATGCGAATCATCAGGGAGTTCCTTTTCGCCAACGACGCGGCATTCACCACACACACAGCATAAGGCCTGCACCAGCTACTCAACTGCTTTGCCGCAACCTGTTCCGCATTCGGCCTAACCATCAGCCTAAAGAAGACACAGGTGATTGGACAAGACGTCAATGAGCTACCCTGAATAAACATCGCAGACTATGTGCTGGAGACGGTCCATGAATTTGTGTTCCTGGGCTCCACAATCTCAGACACCCTTTCCCTGGACACTGAGCTCAACAGGGAAGACCGTAACAACACTGGCCAGGCTCACAAAGTGTGTTTGGGAAAATGTCAAACTGACAATGCACATCAAAGCACAAGTCTACATAGCATGTGTGGAGAGTACACTTCTCTATGGCTCGGAATCCAGGACCCTGCGCTCTCGCCAGTAGAGACGGCTCAATACCTTTCACATGCGGAACCTGAGACGCATCCTTGACATCACGTGGAAAGACGTCACCAACAACACAGTACTCGAGAGAACAGGATCCCTTCAATGTTCACTCTCCTGAAGCAGAGACACATGCAATGGCTGGGACATGTCACACGCATGGAAGATGGCCGCACACTGAAGGACCTCTTATATGGAGAACTGGCATCAGGAAAGAGACCCACCGGAAGACCCCAGCTGCATATCAAAGACGCCTGAAAACGCGACCTCAAGCAGATGAGCTTTAACATCAACACTTGGGAGGCAGCAGCTGCGGACAGAGCTGCCTGGAGATGCAAGATGCAGAAGGAACTCCAGCAATTCGAGGGTGAACTGAAGAGGCAGGCGGAGTATAAGACTTCAGAGGAGGTCTAGACCACTGTCAGACGCACTCGCTTCGGCGTTTGTCTGCGCCCGATGTGGCCAGGACTGTTATTCTCGGGTTGGCCTTCAGAGTCACAGCAGGCATTGCATCCAACTAGACTAGAACAACTAGACACCCAGGAAACAACTACATAACCCCACTGGATTGACGGATGCCTTTTACTATAGGAAGGTGAACATGATCACAGTTGCTGATTCACATCCAATACCGTGCATTTATGACTGTATAGATCGGATTGTGAGTACACAGTACGTGTAAAAGATAGACCTGTCGAAGGGGTACTACCAGATCCCCCTATCAGAAGAGGCGAAGAGAATCTCAGCGTTTGTGACGCCTGATGGGTTGTACCCATATAAAGCATTGCCGTTTGGAATGAAGAATAGTGGTAGCTGTTTCCAATGGGTGATGAACCAGGCGTTGCAAGACGCAACAGGTTTTGTTGTGTACATTGACGACATTGTTCGACAGAGAGAGAGAGAGAGAGAGAGAGAGAGAGAGAGAGAGAGAGAGAGAGAGAGAGAGAGAGAGAGAGAGAGAGAGAGAGAGAGAGAGAGAGAGAGAGAGAGAGAGAGAGAGAGAGACAGACAGACAGACAGACAGACAGACAGACAGACAGACAGACAGACAGACAGACAGACAGACAGACAGACAGACAGACAGACAGACAGACAGAACGACAGACACACAAAGAAAGTGAGTCACATTATTATTAACATCTTAAAATAACAATTTTGCTTAATCTGAGGATTTCAATTAATTCTTATTAAAGTGAGGATAATGCTGGTATTCACTGTCATGCAGGAAAGAGGGCCATACACAAGACAATAAGTCTAAACTGTAGGCTGAAGCACACACACACATATATATATATATATATATATATATATATATATATATATATATATATATATATATATATATATATATATATATATATATATATATATATATATATATGTCGTACCTAGTAGCCAGAATGCACTTCTCAGCCTATTATGCAAGGCCCGATTTGCCTAATAAGCCAAGTTTTCATGAATTAATATATTTTCTCTAATTTTTTTCTTATGAAATGATAAAGCTACCCATTTCATTATGTATGAGGTTAATTTTTTTTATTGGAGTTAAAATTAACGTAGATATATGACCGAACCTAACCAACCCTACCTAACCTAACCTAACCTATCTTTATAGGTTAGGTTAGGTTAGGTAGCCGAAAAAGTTAGGTTAGGTCAGGTTAGGTAGGTTAGGTAGTCGAAAAAACATTAATTCATTAAAACCTGGCTTATTAGGCAAATCGGGCCTTGCATAGTAGGCTGAGAAGTGCGTTCTGGCTACTAGGTACGACATATATATATATATATATATATATATATATATATATATATATATATATATATATATATATATATATATATATATAATTGTAACCATATATATCATGGTTACAATTAATGTTTTAATGTATAAATATGTGAAAACAACTTTCTATTGTGTACTGCCACGCAAATTCAGGGATGGGTTCATAAGTGATGCAGCTTAGAAGTAATATAAATAAAATTGTTCTTCATTCATTAAAATGGACAAACAAATTTTGGGTAAATTGTTAGGATGTCGTCCATAACACCTGAGTCAATGAAATAGTTACACGGTGGTACAGTAGGTCAGGTCTAAAGTCTCTTACGGTTTCACATTCAACAATATAGTGTTTAGTGAATGCATTAAATGCATTCAATAGAACACTAGTGAATGCACAGAGTTTACAATCTTAATATTCTGGTAGTGGGTCAGCCTCACTAACCAGCCAGATGTGTCTATTGACTAGGCAAATTCGCGCAATGACTAATACAAATTCCTATTATTTCAAAAGTTGTCATAGCTTTTAATACTACAGCTTTCAGATCTCTGGCATTTCTTGGTTCTTCTAAATCTGAATTAATTTCTTTAATTTGTATGTTTCTAATAATTGCATTAGATAGTCCAAAGTCATAATCAATGTTTTCTTTCCTGCAAGCCTTATACAGAGCACGGCCAATTTTCATTGGCACATTCTAAACAAAAATATACGCTCTGTTTCAACTCCTGGTGCAGGAAAGCTGTGGGTGGCGGTGCTGGTGAGTGTGGTGTCGTGGGGCGCGACCCTGTGGTTGCTGCAGAGAGCGTGGCAGAAGGTGGCTGGAGGCCGTCCAGTAGGACTCATCACCTCCCTCTTGTATGGTTATGGTGCTCTCTTGCAGAACCTGCCCTCTGACCCCTCCGTCACCGACACCGGCAGGGTAATATCTTTATATTGAACTCAATTTCTCAACACCTAATTTGTGTGATTATGTGGTTAAGTTATTTTTTATTTAATATTATTCGTGAGTACACTGTATAATAAAATATTTATTATTGGACTGTACTCCATAGCTATGTAAAGTTCCACACAACTCCACACTGGGGCTTATATTGTTAACATTAAATAGGATAGAGCAAGCTTAGTAATTTATTATATATAAATTAATGGTTAATGTTTATTACTTTAACCTAAATAATTTCCTGTTCTATTCATGTTGTTGTTATTCAATAAATTTAACAGCTTAGCTGTTTAGTAGATCCACAATTGAGTGTCTTGAGTCAACATACATATTGTTATAACCACTGTAACACTGTAAAAGTGTTTGGTTTAGTTTAATACATACATAGAGTACATGAGTCACAGACAAGGATCTGAGAGGCGCCAGTTGTCTGCCTGAGATCTCACACCTCAAAGCGTTAATGACCTCAAGTGACCTGAGGTCAGATCATGAGAATTTCACCTTGCTTCCGCTAAGCTTATAGTTGGAGCCTGGTAGCCTTCAAACTTGCCGACGTTTAAGGAGTGGCTTGGTAGAGTGCCGGAGGCTATCTACTTATGGGCGGAGTTAGCTACTAGGTTCCCCAATATAAACTCGGAGAGCTATCGAGCAGAAAGCAATAGGAGACCGGCCAGCGGAGCAGAGCAGAGGCCAGCCGTCGAGATAGGCCGTCACCAGACGGGGGGTGACGCTGCCTGAAAATTGCAGACCCCCCCCCTCTCTATTCAACTTAGACTCAGTCCTCGGTGAGTGAACATTTAGGTGACTTGGTCGTGTTTACATATGTTGTGTGATGATCAGGGGCAGTCAAGTTGTAGGGTTCTCGAATTCTTGGATGATGACTCACTTTGCATATTAAACTGGAACATTTTAATTGAATTGCTAAATTATGATCCTTCATGTGAAATATAATTATGAATTTATTATTTAAATTGTGTTTAACTTTGTTCCCTAGAGATTTTGAGTTGAGGTGAGAAAGCCTCTGTAGTTACTGGTTTCATGGTTTAGAATGAGTACATGATAAAGATGGGACCATACTAATAATGATCTCTTGATAACATCTTTTGAGAATTTTGTGATACAGACAAGTTCCATTCCTTGTCTTGTATGTAATGATCATGAATGGATGGTGGCAGCATTTCGTCTTCTACTATCTACTCTTCCACTCCTACTATCTACTCTTCTACATCTACCTATCTACACCTCTCCCTCCACCCCTCTCTCAACTCTCACTTTCAACTAATGACCATCCTCGCTCCTCCCACCTCTCTCCCTCTCACCCCAAACCCTCACTAATTACTTCACTATTCATTTCTTTCCTTTCGCTTTCTCTTATACGTTTGTGGCAGTGATTCTGTATTCTAGAGTTCTCTCTAGAGTTTCGGGTAACTGATCAGGTTACGGCGCCTTGTAGTCTTAGCACCTAGGTAGTCGAATACCTAGGTTACAAGGTGCTGAACGAGAGAGGTTGCCTTAGGATCTCTGGAGGTGCTCTAGAATAGTTAGCTAACTGGGGACGGGATAACGGACAAGAGAGAGCTGTTTCCCCCGGCCTCGATTAGTTAACTGGGGGGTGGAATAATGGACAAGATAGAGCCATTTCCCCCCACCCCCCCGTTACAATGATGGCAGCGGTGTTGAACAATGTTGTAGGTAGTTGGTGTTCTTTTAACATTGTTCAGTCCCACGTGTCTTTTTGCCGCTCAGGCGCTATCAGGGAGATCTTGACAGGTGTTTTACTTTCGCGATTTAGCGAGTTTTCAGGTTAGGAGATTGTGATTCTCTAGTGTTGTGGTTTAGTGATTTTGTGAGTTTTGTGGTTTTCAGGGAATGTTCACCAGAACTTGCGTGTGTAGTGATTAATGTTAGTAATAAGATTTGGTGATTTGGGAACTTAGCGGTGTTGGTAGTGCAGGTCAGCTGAGTGTGACAGGTGACCTCGCATGTCCCACGGGGACACCCAGCCACCGCTGGTCTCCAGGTCAGTGGGGAGTGGCAGGTGTAGTTCTTAAGTAGTTAAGTGGTGGTTCTGCTCAGGTTATTGCGATCGACTGTTTACTCCATTTGAACGCAATAACCCGAGGTGTACTGGTATTGTACAGCATGCTAGGGGAAGGCTTAGTATGTCAGTAGACTTCACGTTGGGGACGCTCGACGTTAGATAGTCTGGTCACAGGGGTGGCAACAGTTTTGAGTTGTTTACCGGCGGAGAAGCTAGGGAAACACTCTGGGTCACGTAGGTGGCTGTAGGTTAAGGGTGGGAGTAATGGATATTTAAGTACGTAAGATTAGGAACGGTATAGTTAAGTTAGGCTAGTGTTTTGTCTATTAGTGTTGATTTTTTTGTGACAAGTTAAAAGTAGTGACGATCTTATTCTCTCTTCTCTAACTTTACTCTGTTACTGTTTTATGTTCCACCAAGTCAATATCATTCAGAGTTAATTGGATTATTAAAAATTTAAGTGTAGTTGTTGCCAGGAGGAGAGCAGTATGAGATGACTGTGTAACCCTATACAAACTACAGGGTCACATAACATTTTGGGAACACGTATTGTCGCCTTTCTGTTCATCCACAGGTGGGAGCCAGAAGAGAGGAGAGACGCACATACAAAAGAGGGAGACGGCTGCTGTGTACCACACTCACGGGCGTTTATCACCACCACCACGACCAGCCCACTACCTGGAGGTCATGGCTCCACCACCACCACCACCACCACCCCGGGGGACCCCAAGATGCAGTCCTCTCGGTCGGTCAACATTGGTCTACCCAGTGGACCCCAGGACGGACGGACCCCAGTGGACCCCAAGACGGACGGACCCCAGTGGACCCCAGGACGGACGGACCCCAATGGACCCCAGGTCGTTCTGCAGACGACCCCAGACGACCCAGTAATGATGGAAGAGGAGCAACAACGACTCCAGTCTGTCCCACCAACATCGGTCTACCCAGGATGGACCCCAGGACGGACAGACCCCAATGGACCCCTGGTCGCTTGTCTAAGACCCATGGGAGGAAGAGAGAGAAAGAAGAAAAGAAGAAAGAAGAAAGAAAGAAGAAGAAAGAAAGAAAGAAGAGAGAAGAAAGAAGAGAAGATAAGACAAGCTGAGTGAGACATGATATCTAGTGTCCCTTGCTGGTGTCAGCATCATTGCATGGAGCATAATTGCAAGACAGGATCGTTTGCCTTAACTGGCCGCCCCTCCTACAAGCATGTTGCTCTGTTGAGTGATTCTTCCTGTGTCATGCGGACTTGATGTGGCTGTCAGAAGTAGCTCTCTGAAGGAGGCGTGCTGGAGCAACAGGGAGGAAGAAGAGTAGGATGGGATTTCTACTGTTGGCAACTATATGAAGGTCTCGAAACTTGTAGTCCCTATAGCTGTGAAGAACCCCAATATACGTCTCTCATGGTGACTGACGTAGGGCCAATTACAGATCAGCTGGGACAACCGAATTCCACGGTCCTGTGCGCAGTTCAAGTAGTAACGGCTTTCGGGTTGACCAAGGGTTGTTGTGCGTTAACGACGGAGAAGCGACGGAGGCAGTTGTGTTGAAGAAATGTGGTACAGGATTATCTACAAGACCAAGCAGTGACGTCGCCCAGCCAGAGACAATGGACGTCTGTCTACATATTTCATTTTTTAGAGTAGGATGATGTATATTTGTTTAGCTAGGATGTATTCTTTTCGTTAATAAAGTTGTCGCACACAGCTAGCTTGCTTTAGCAGTGTTGCAAAAACTTTATTTTCGGGGAGAAGGGGAGATGTAACACTGTAAAAGTGTTTGGTTAAGATTGCTGAGCTACAGCAACGAGTGGCCGGGCACGGCTAGTATAATATAAATTGGGGTACCACTGTAACACTGTAAAAGTGTTTGGTTTAGTTTAATACATACATAGAGTACATGAGTCACAGACAAGGATCTGAGAGGCGCCAGTTGTCTGCCTGAGATCTCACACCTCAAAGCGTTAATGACCTCAAGTGACCTGAGGTCAGATCATGAGAATTTCACCTTGCTTCCGCTAAGCTTATAGTTGGAGCCTGGTAGCCTTCAAACTTGCCGACGTTTAAGGAGTGGCTTGGTAGAGTGCCGGAGGCTATCTACTTATGGGCGGAGTTAGCTACTAGGTTCCCCAATATAAACTCGGAGAGCTATCGAGCAGAAAGCAATAGGAGACCGGCCAGCGGAGCAGAGCAGAGGCCAGCCGTCGAGATAGGCCGTCACCAGACGGGGGGTGACGCTGCCTGAAAATTGCAGACCCCCCCCTCTCTATTCAACTTAGACTCAGTCCTCGGTGAGTGAACATTTAGGTGACTTGGTCGTGTTTACATATGTTGTGTGATGATCAGGGGCAGTCAAGTTGTAGGGTTCTCGAATTCTTGGATGATGACTCACTTTGCATATTAAACTGGAACATTTTAATTGAATTGCTAAATTATGATACTTCATGTGAAATATAATTATGAATTTATTATTTAAATTGTGTTTAACTTTGTTCCCTAGAGATTTTGAGTTGAGGTGAGAAAGCCTCTGTAGTTACTGGTTTCATGGTTTAGAATGAGTACATGATAAAGATGGGACCATACTAATAATGATCTCTTGATAACATCTTTTGAGAATTTTGTGATACAGACAAGTTCCATTCCTTGTCTTGTATGTAATGATCATGAATGGATGGTGGCAGCATTTCGTCTTCTACTATCTACTCTTCTACTTCTACTATCTACTCTTCTACTTCTACCTATCTGCACCTCTCCCTCCACCCCTCTCTAAACTCTCACTTTCAACTAATGACCCTCCTCGCTCCTCCCACCTCTCTCCCTCTCACCCCAAACCCTCACTAATTACTTCACTATTCATTTCTTTCCTTTCGTTTTCTCTTATACGTTTGTGGCAATGATTCTGTATTCTAGAGTTCTCTCTAGAGTTTCGGGTAACTGATCAAGTGACAGCGCCTTGTAGTCTTAGCACTTAGGTAGTCAAATACCTAGGTTACAAGGTGTTGAACGAGAGAGGTTGCCTTAGGAACTCTGGAGGTGCTCTAGAATAGTTAGCTAACTGGGGACGGGATAACGGACAAGAGAGAGCTGTTTCCCCCGGCCTCGTTAGTTAACTGGGGGGTGGAATAATGGACAAGATAGAGCTATTTCCCCCACCCCCCCGTTACATCTAAGACCAGAATGCAAAAATATTGATAGCAAGATAAATTAATAATGGGTGCTGGAATACTGGCTTCAAGCTGCCACCTCCCTTAGTACACGAAAGCCAAGGCTTAGTCTACTAGCAAGAGATGTCAACTCCAAGGAGCACAAAGATATTCTGACGAGTCTGGCGTGCTGCTGCCCAGACGTCGACTCGCGGTGGTGGTGGTAAGTGCAGGTGCGACGAGACACCAGCCAATCAGCAACAGGCAGGCAGAGGATGAGCAGTTTGCTGGTTACGGTGGGCTGTGGCCAGGTGTTGGGGTGTGCAGGGTACGATTTGCTTCCTGGGCAAAACGTCTGGCGATACTAGTGAACGTATCTTCTATATAGTATCTTGTATGTACGACGTAATGATGTAGGGAAGAGCAGGCTCAATCTCTCTTGAAAGAGATTATCGTCACAATATATATATATATATATATATATATATATATATATATATATATATATATATATATATATATATATATATATATATATATATATATATATATATATATACACGACTGAAAGGGTAAAATTAATGATTCTAACACGAATCTTCTCTATATTTCTAATGTTTTTCTTCAGTGTCGAGGGAAGTTTAAAAATTAACACTCCTAAGATAATTTTCACACTATACTTATGGTCGGACACTTAGGGAAGCGTTTCATAACACACTCCTTACATTTTCAAATACAAATTTTCAGTACTCTGCCAATGCTTATATTCGCTTCGGGTGAAGTGATACAGGACATAATTGAGATGAACAAGTGGATCAATGGCACCATGGGTATTATAGGTCATTGCGTGTTCTATCTTCTTGCTTCTGTGTTGGTTCGGAGTCTTGAAGTGGGTAGAATGTAATTATGTGGTTAATTGGATGTCGACTGCTGGTTTTGACTTTTTGTAGTGTAGGGCCTTACTGATGTCGAGTCTCCTGTTCTACACAAATGTTAGTGGAAAATACCAAATAAATACTATTTTAGGAATAGTACAAAGCTATGTTCGATGCAATGAATTGTGATATCGCTATAGCTGGTGTCTACCCATCTCCAATCTTTGTTAGTGTTTATTGTGTCTTATTGGTCCACTGACTGTGAATTTGATTGCTTATATGTATCCTTACTATCTTTATTATATGGCCTAACATTTATTGTCGCTTTAAATACACGAAAACCCTCAGTATTATTTTTTCGAACCACAAATAGTTAGGTAGGACATCTGTAATAGTTAATTACACATGTCTACAGATGTTGGTGGGATGGTGGCTTGTGTTCTGCTTGATCATCACTACGGGGTTTTCTTCATCCTTGATGGCGCACCTCACTGTGAAGGAAAGATCGCGGCCACTTGAGACTTTTGAGGACCTGGTGAATCAGCCTCACTGGAAATGGGGAACCGATCACTGGATGCTAACAGAAGCAGCTGTTGATTATTATACCAAGCATCCCAATCCTGTAACCAGGCATATATTTCGTAAAATGGAGGTGGGTACTGTCCATATTCCACAATATATTCATTTTGTTCATTTTTATCGGTTCATTTTATGTATAATATCACTGAATCCTTGTTACTTCATTAACAATGTACATCCAAAACACTTGATTAAAATTTCTTCGCTAGTTGATGCAGGTGGACGAAGCTCTGAAAAAAGTACTAGCAGGAGGATTCTCTTACATCACATACAAGAACTACGTTACCGTCATCATTGAGACTCGCTACTCGGACGCGAGAGGCGACACTCCCCTCTACATCAGCAAAAAGTCATTTCCAATCTTAGCAGCCTTTGGATGGGGCATTAGGCAAGCATTCATTATTGTTATTCCAGTTCTTTGTGAGCTCAGTTTCGTAAGGATTTGTTTAATAAATTTTGTCTAAAACTAAAATGTTAATTTCTTTTACAGCGGAATACTTTAAAGTATATACAATTTGTTACCATATATTTATGCAATGATTATTTTATGATGACAATTGCAACTTATAATGCAATAGACTAAGCATAATAATTATTAATAATAATTAATTGTGTTAGGGGACAGGCATCCTGTTCATATATACAGTATACGTTAGGTTTATATCGAGGTTCCCCCCCCCTGCTTCGGATTACTGATCCTCCAGGATGCAACCTCACAACAAGCTAACTATCTCCTGAGTACCAACTCTGCTAGGTGAAGAGGTACATTCGGTGATAGGAAACGTTCCCAACCATTTCTGTCCCGTCCGGGACTCGAACCCGAAATTCTAGATTGTGAGTCGAGAACGAACCAGACTGTTCGTATACCGAAACCATAAAACAATACAGACAAATTAAAATAATCTTCATCTCCTTCATAAATGCATTTCACCCTAACAGAAAAGGTGCACCATTTTATCAACGTTTCACACAACTAATGACTCGTCTGGAAGCTGCTGGCATAATTACCTACTGGACTGAAGACTTGATGGCCAGGCGGGCGAGGGAGGGCAGGAAGGCTGCAATGATCAACGCTACAACCATCCTGGGAAACGCAATCCAGGTAAATCTCCAACACATGATCAATACATACTTAAAATATTACTCAGTTCCATAATTTTGTTATGCTTGTCCGTTATGGTGTACGTATTTGTTACGAGCGAGACCCTAGAGGAGTTTTATGGTAGTCAATATTAATGGTTTCCAGGATGAAGGAGAGGAAGTGGTGCTGAGCCTCAACCATCTGCAGGGAGCCTTCTACATGTTGCTGGTGGGGTCCTGCGTCGCCTTCCTCACCCTGCTGGGGGAGAACCTCGCCCACTGCTGCTCCTCGCCTCAGTAACACCTTCCTCACCCTGCTGGGGGAGAACCTCGCCCACTGCTGCTCCTCGCCTCAGTAACGCCTTCCACACCCTGCTGGGGGAGAACCTCGCCCACTGCTGCTCCTCGCCTCAGTAACACCTTCCTCACCCTGCTGGGGGAGAACCTCACCCAGTGCTGCTCCTCGCCTCAGTAACACCTTCCTCACCCTGCTGGGGGAGAACCTCGCCCACTGCTGCTCCTCGCCTCAGTAACACCTTCCTCACCCTGCTGGGGGAGAACCTCGCCCACTGCTGCTCCTCGCCTCAGTAACACCTTCCTCACCCTGCTGGGGGAGAACCTCGCCCACTGCTGCTCCTCGCCTCAGTAACACCTTCCTCACCCTGCTGGGGGAGAACCTCGCCCACTGCTGCTCCTCCTCGCCTCAGTAAAACCTTCCTCACCCTGCTGGGGGAGAACCTCGCCCACTGCTGCTCCTCCTCGCCTCAGTAACACCTTCCTCACCGTGCTAGGGGAGAACCTCGCCCACTGCTGCTCCTCCTCGCCTCAGTAACACCTTCCTCACCCTGCTGGGGGAGAACCTCGCCCACTGCTGCTCCTCGCCTCAGTAACACCTTCCTCACCCTGCTGGGGGAGAACCTCGCCCACTGCTGCTCCTCCTCGCCTCAGAAACATTCTTCCAACTTATATATACGCTGTAATTTTGAATGCCCCTGGTTGGCACTATCTTTTCCTGTATAATATACTTTTTATAGTTATATTTGTTTATATATGCAATATTATAAAGAAATAATATATGAAACATAAATTAATTTTTTAATAAACTGACTCCTGACTGCATTAAAAAATCCATGTCTCTCTCTTGCCCTATCTTCAATTTTATTTGTCAAAATTACGCCCCCTAATGTACACTCAATGTAAACAAAACTATGTCTAGTTATCTGCGGTTTTCACATTTCATTTGATTCATCTCTTATAATATCAAAGTGTACTGGAACATCAGATGGAATAAGCAATGGTAACTGCTGTTGTGTTGACCTAAAGGAAACAGGGCAGAGCTGGCGAGAGCCGTGTTCTGTACACGCTCTCGACATCCTCATAAAAAATGGTTGTATCACTTGTGTCCTTGACTTGTATTAAATATTTTGCTGGCTTTAGGTCATCAATATCACTGGCAGAGTCCTCTTCAAGCAGTATAACCTGTATGTCATCATCAAACACTGTTGTTTTTTCAAAACGTGACCGATTAGTGACTGGGAGCTGGATGCAGAAGCATCTGATGTGGATTCTACCTTTGAACTGGGCCTACCTACGGCTGTGGGGCATAGTGGGACTTTTTTTCAAGATGGCTGACGCATATTGGAGGCGTTAGGCCTCCATCTTGTAGCCAAATGACTGTGTAGGGTTTCTGAATCTTATGGTATACCTTTGAGTACCTTAATGAATTATGTGTACAATCAGTGGGGCGCCTTAAGGTGTACGCGGTATTGGTGAATGCCAAAATCTAAGGATATCATTCAAAATTATTATCAGTTCTTAGAATAACTAAATGTTTTAAGTATGTTTTATACAACTATCAGACGTTTAAAATTTTCAAATGTATTTTTCTGAAATGTACATAAATTTATTTTATGAATATGAAAATATTTTTTTATACAAAAATTATGTTTGAAAAAAGAAATGATGTTACCAAAAACAATATTGACACCAATATATATATATATATATATATATATATATATATATATATATATATATATATATATATATATATAAGCCTATACTTGCATAAACCACAAGTGAAGATTAATAATCTTTGGTGGGTGTTGTCCAAAGATTATATATATATATATATATATATATATATATATATATATATATATATATATATATATATATATATATATGTCGTACCTAGTAGCCAGAACGCATTTCTCAGCCTACTATGCAAGGCCCGATTTGCCTAATAAGCCAAGTTTTCATGAATTAATTGTTTTTCGACTACCTAACCTACCTAACCTAACCTAAAAAATAAAAAAAAAAAAATATATATATATATATATATATATATATATATATATATATATATATATATATATATATATATATATATATATATATATATATCGTACCTAGTAGCCAGAATGCACTTCTCAGCCTACTATGCAAGGCCCGATTTGCCTAATAAGCCAAGTGTTCCTGAATTAATATATTTTCTCAAATTGTTTTCTTATGAAATGATAAAGCTACCCATTTCATTTTGTATGAGGTCAATTTTATTTTATTGGAATTAAAAATAACGTAGATATGTGACAGAACCTAACCATCCCTACCTAATCTAACCTAACCTATCTTTATTGGTTAGGTTAGGTTAGGTAGCCGAAAAAGTTAGGTTAGGTTAGGTTAGGTAGTCGAAAAACAATTAATTCATGAAAACTTGGCTTATTAGGCAAATCGGGCTTTGCATAGTAGGCTGAGAAGTGCGTTCTGGCTACTAGGTACGACATATATATATATATATATATATATATATATATATATTATATATATATAGCACCCCACGCCCACCGTCACCCACGCAACCCTACGCCCATCGCCACACCACGCCCACCGTCACCCCACGCCCACACACGTCACACGCCCTACGACTCCCTCACTAGGAAAGGGTGGAAGGACACATGTGGTGGGGTCAAGAGACTGGGTCACCAGTGTGCCAATAAGTGCTTGAAAAAGATAAGTTGAGTCTAGTCCTGTGGTGACTGGACCATTGTGAGTATCGTGTTGAGAGCACCACACCCAGTGAGCCAGGACACATTCACCAGTGTTTAGTGACAAAAGGAAATTATCCAAGTGTTACGTGCCACATCAACCCTCCCCCCACCCCCTGAGTGTAGTGCCTTCCCCCACCCCCTGAGTGTAGTGCCTCCCCCCACCCCCTGAGTGTAGTGCCTCCCCCCCCAGTGAGTGTAGTGTCTCCCCCCACCCCCTGAGTGTAGTGCCTCCCCCCCACCCCCTGAGTTGTAGTGCCTCCCCCCCAGTGAGTGTAGTGCCTCCCCCCACCCCCTGAGTGTCGTGCCTCCCCCCCACCCCCTGAGTGTAGTGCCTCCCCCCAGTGAGTGTAGTGCCTCCCCCCACCCCCTGAGTGTCGTGCCTCCCCCCCACCCCCTGAGTGTAGTGCCTCCAGTGCAAGGTGACATTCACTTTACCTAAGTGGATGGCAGAAGAAGCCGCTACCAGCCAGCTCACCCCTCCCGAAGCCAATCAAAGGAGAGGCACCTGCAGTGTTTGTGGGAGCAACATCAGCATCAACTCGGTCTCCAGAGTCATACGCCAGCATGGTGACTGTCCTGGGTCAGGGAGGCCTCCCGTGGGAGGAGGCAGCACTCAGGAGCCTGTTGCACCAGTACAAATCGCAACAGATTACATTGCAACAGACGACCTGCTAGAGGCAATTAAAGCAACGTCAACCAGGACACTCACCCACATCCCAAAGGCCTCTCGCCCATTTGCTGTCGGGAAATACACGGACCTCATCGCAAAAGTCAACAGAGGGTCAAATATCCTTGATGCACCTGATACCATCAAAGCCTGGCACAATCTGCTACTTTTTGGCAATACATTCTTAGGTGTACCAGACAGAGGAGGCAAGACACTAGCCTCATCCGTCAATAAAGCAATTAGGGATTTTCCTAGGGCTGACAACCTAGTCTGCCTCCCCAAGCACACCAAACACCGCCGAGGCAGACCAAGTACGACAATCAGCGACAACAGCAAATTAGGTACCCAAGTCAGCAAGAAAATTGAAGAGGGCAATACAGTCGGGGCACTGAAGTTGATCACAAGTGAGGACAAAATTTTGCCCAGGGATGAAACCATAGCCCAGGCACTGAGAGAAAAACACCCCCTCAGGGCCGTAGGTGGACCTCCCCCACAGGTCAGGGTCCCCCTTAACTAGGAACCTCTCGTCCTCCGGGAGTCAGAGGTTTATAAAGCTATCGTTTCATTTCCCCAGGGCTCCTCAGGAGGCTACACAGGGGTAAGACCTCACATGTGAAGGAAATGGTGAATCCTGTTCTTGGCCCAGCTGCAGAAGCGCTCCTGACAGAAATCACAACGTTTGTCAACAACTGCCTCGCCAGGTTAATCCCTGATGAAATCAAAACATTCTTCTTTGGTGCATCCCTATGTGCCCTGAAAAAGAAGGGGGGAGGGATCAGACCCATTGCCGCCTAGTTGCAAGGGCTGCTGTCAGAGGTATCCGAATGGAAGCAGCCATCATGCTGCAACCAAACCAGCTGGGGTTTGGAGTCCCCCAAGGCTGTGAAGCAGCGGCCCATGCTGCACGAGCCTACATTAGCTCTCTTACTGAAGACCAGGCAGTAGTAAAATTAGATCTTAAAAACGCTTTCAACTCGGTCAAAAGGGAAGCAATCCTCACTGCAGTCCAGGAACGTTGCCCAAGCATTCTCCCGTTTGTGTCAGCAGGCTACAGCAAAGACTCAACCCTCCTGTTTGGCAAACATGAAGTCACCTCAGAAGAGGGAATTCAACAGGGAGACCCACTTGCACCCTTCCTCTTTTGCATAGTGGTTCGAGAAATTACAACCAGACTGTCCAGTGAGCTCAACATCTGGTTCCTGGATGATGGCACTCTGACAGGCACACAAGACTCCCTGCTGGAAGACCTTCAGCTGGTGAAGACACGGGGGGAGACCATGGGTCTCGTTCTTAATCCCTCCAAGTGCGAAATTATTGCATCCAGTGAAGTAATGATTAGAGCAGTGAAATCAGTTTTACCAGAAGCCTCAGTCATTAAACCCACCGACAGCACACTACTTGGAGCACCTCTGGGCCACAATGCCATTGCTGCAGTCCTTGACGAAAAGTTTAGAGACCTAAAGAGGATGGAAGAGAGAATTGGGGACTTGGACTCCCACGATGCCCTCTACCTTCTCACAAAGTGCCTTACCTTGCCCAGGCTAACATACTTCTTAAGGTGTGCACCAACTTTTGGCAACCCACTTCTACATCAATATGATGAGCTCCTCAGGTCAATATTCAGGAAG